GTGTCGATATCCACAAGATTCTGCATGCTGAGGTTGGACAGGCAGCTGCTTACACGGTTTCGGGTCCACATCGTTGGCTGAGAAAGACACACACGTATTTTGCTTTCACCTCCTCTGTTGATATAAATTTTTCACACTTGCTGCAGGTGTCATGACTTTTGTTTAACCATGGGGGGAATGCTGAGTGGGGTGTATGTGTGTGTTGGTACCTCTTCCTCAGGAGAAATGAGAATTTGGCCATCTTCAAGCATACAGTTACTGATGTCCCATAAGGGCACCTCCTGAGGTGGGGCCCATTGCAGTCTTGGGAGTTCAGTGGGTGCCGATTCAACCTCCTCCACATCTGCCACACAAGCAGACATGCACACACAAATACACGTACAGTGATTTTCATCCCTATACAGCTTACAAACACATTTGACAAATTAAAAAACAAATATAATTTCTTTCTTTATGGACTATATATGTGTTTATACAACTACATAGTTAAATGCAATATGAATATTGCAGGAGCATAATTGCAGGCACATGCTGGCCCTTGTTTTTTAGTTTTGGTAATTATGGCATGATGGCACTTATCTCCTACAGCACTTGGCCAGTCCCATTTGTGGAGTTGCCGGGGTTACTGATGCTATCTCTCTTTTCATGACACTCCAGGATGAGTGGCGCACATCCTGTGGTTCCTCTGTAGTTTTTTTCTAGATGTAAACGTCCTTCAAAATTTACGATGGAAATAAGTCCTGGGGCCATATTCACAAAGCTTCGTTGTACTTCTGGTGAAGACAATTCTTAGCATTGTGACATTTTGTGAGAATTTCTCCCTAAAGTTAAGACTAGGTCCTAGTAAAGATAAAAGTTATTCACAAAACATCTTATACCTTAAAAGAGCTTCTAAGATGAAAAACTGTTAGGAGTAGGGAGGAGAACTTTTAAGAGGCTGAAGAGTTTCTTAATCAGAGGAGAAAATGGCAGAAAGACAAAGTGGTCGGAGAAATATTCTCCAGATGCTGGATGACAGTGAGTAAATGAAATGCTACAGATTAGATGGTGCAAGGATAATATGTGTGGTTGATGTCATGTGGTTGATGTCATTAGGGATAAACACACATTTCCCACCTCACGCTATAATGCCAGAAATAAAATGATCACAATACTAATATTTTTGGAAAACTGGAAAAATGCAACAGTGCAGCAGTGATGACTGGTCTGTGTCAACCTTCCATCAGCAGAGTGATCACACTGACAATGACAACACTTTTACATACAGCAGTTCATTTCATTTCCAATGGATGTCCAGGCTCACAAAAGGGTGTGTCTGTGACAGCCAGTCACATCTGTTAAAGGAATGCATCACACCTGGCAATGGGGTCAACCACACCTCATCACTAAGGTAAAAGTTTCTGTCCTTTCCTTGCTCAGAGGTGTCCTGAAAACTTTCCTAAATCACTCCTTGGCTAGGAGTCCTTACTAAATAAATGTTAGCTTTCTGAGAGTGTTCTCAGAATGTTTGTGAATACGGCCCCTGGACTTTTACCATGTAATCCCTTATAATTTTTAATAAGATTAATTGGCATGATGTTTTACTTTTCTTGCTAGATTAAAACAGTTAAGTAAATGCAAGTAGCAATAAAATCAAAGCTATGATCAATGGAGTAGTTATTGTTGTATATAGTTTACTATAATATACTATATTATACTATAGGATATATGTTGGATAGATAGATAATAAAGTACGGCAACAAAACAGGGTTCCGCAACCTTTATAATCAAAATAAAGAAATTGTCCAGAACCACAAAAGATATTTGAGCCCCATAATAAAGGTAAGATAGCCATTTAAATCAGTAAGCTTCATACAGTAGCACATCTTTTACTTATATTTGGCTTTTTATTTCAGTACTCTCACAGTCATGCGAACAAGGATGTTAATTTGTCTGACCATGGTGAGGACACATGAAGCGCAGGGTCTGGAGGTCTTCTGCCAGTAAATTTTGAGCATCAAACATTTGATTTCCTGCATTCTGGTGAATTTTTCTGCATCAGTTTATGGTGGAAATGTCTTGCTACTGTTCTGACACACAGACACACTGAGGATAATTTCTACGTCAAAGGTCTTCAATTAGATATAAGACTAATAGTAGTAAACTTTATTTGTATAGCACTTTTCAATACAGATTTACAAAGTGCTTTGTAAAGATATGAAATCCACACAGTGCTGTCGAGAAAAGAGTCTTTTGGGGGAAGCTTGGCTTATTTACTTATTTACATTTACATAACGAACATGAGCAAAGGGCCCCCAGAACTTGAACACCAACCACTGCAAAGTATTCAGTTTATATGGGCCATATAAGCTGAAATCTTTGCAGTGGTTGGTGTTCAGGTTCTGGGGGCCCTTTGCTCATGTTGACCCCCATCTCTCACCCTTTTCATATCTATCTGTCCTATCTAATAAAGGCAAAAGGCTGAAAAATACAATCTTATAAAAAAACGTAACTTTAATGTGGCTGTAGATTTTGATAAATCTTTTACTGGTACTTAAGACTAAAGAATGTTGACCCAGTTCATCCCTTGATGTGTTTTTTTCTTTGTACACTCTTGAACACTGTTTGTTTGAGTCAGATTCCTGTGCCCCTTTTGTAATAGGAAGCAACACAGCTTCAGTCATACTGTGCAATTGGTTCAAGAGCTGATTACATCAGCCACATCCTCCTCAGCATCTACATAGTAAACCTGTACTGCTTTAACTTTGAGTTCTGTCTCAGCACAACGGAAGTTTCCTGTTACAGCTTTCAGTAACAGCTACATTCAATTTCTGGGTCATTTCTCATCAGTTTTGACCTTATTCGGAGAGTGATGGTTTTGGTCTTTGTCACGTTAACCTTGAAGGTCTGACAGGACAAATAAAGAAGGTCTTGGTTCTGGTTAAGTCTTTTTCAGTGGGGAGAGATGTGCCAGATTATCTGCGTAAATCAGACATTTGAATAATGTATTTAAAATTGTGAGACCAGCTGATACTGCGGGTCCACTAATATTCTTAACATAAAGGGTAGGGCTGGGACTACAGCCTTGCTTAAGGCCTCCACTCTTGCTGCAGTAGCTTCTTGAGGTTAATACTGACGTAGATTCTTCTGTACAGTCGTCAGGCTCAGATCTGTCATCAGATGTGATCACAGTTGGGGGATGATGTAAGAGGTGTGGACTTAAGTCACAGATTTGATAACTTTAGACTTGGCTTGACAAAACAGAAAAAACAATGACTTAGACTTTAATAAGAATGACTCATGACTTTACTTTAACTTGAGCCTTTTGACTTGAAAATACTTGATACCTTCCCACCAAGACCAAAGATTAAACAGTATGTTATTTAAAAAGTGTGCCACGATTCAGTTCGTTTCCCTTCATTTCCTGAATCAGCAAATGTTATCGCTTTTCAGTCCCAGCAAGTCAACACTTCATTCCCCAGATCCATTTTGTTTGAACCCATCTGACAGCATCCAGTCAAGCTGCAGAAGAGAACCATGACGAACTTGTGTTGTGTTACTGAGCTCCAGTTGGTAAAATTACACCAAAGATAACTTTGTTCGATTAACAACACAAAAATGAATTGCAGTATGTAAAACGTGCAGGTCAAAAATTACAGACAGAGATGCAACAACCTCCAACAAACTTATTTAAACAATTAAATACAAACTTTTTAAAAGCATTTATGATTTTTGTAAATTTCATATTATGCCAGAATGGTATTATATTTGGTGAAGAGTGCATTATTTCTTGTTTAGGACTTGAAACCCAAAGGAGAGGTCTCGGGACTTGCCTGTCTTGACATGGGACTTGATTCTGGACTTGCCTCTCTTAACTTGGGACTTGACTCATGACTTGTCCTCATTTGAGACCTGACTTGTGACTTGCCTGTCTTGACCTTGGACTCCAGTGGAAATGCTTGTGATTTGCAAAACAATAACTTGGTTCCACCTCTGACTGTAACCCAAGAATGTAGTTTTAATATTTCTTTAAGATCCTGCCAAGTTTTTAAATAGAAATGTTCACAATTATCTCCAATTTTAATACACTCCTCTCTGTAGCTTCAGTTAGTACGTAAATGAATTCCAGTTTCTCCAAATTTGACACTGAGAGTCTTAAAATAATTGCAAAGAGTTTTGCAGATAATGTTCTATTTTTGTTATTTGAACTTTGATACCTTCCTCTCTTTAACTTCCTCCTGAACGACATCTTATTTTAAGTTTGTCAGCTTTTCTCTTAGGTTGTGTTTTACTGCTGAGTTTTTCTAATATGGCAGGAGCTGCTGAAACACTATAGTGATACAACCGCATTTATCATGTCATTGTGAAGAAAGTTACACATACCCCACCTACTGTTAAGTGTGTGACAGAATGATCCTACATACAGTAAAAGGAAATGATGCTTGAGCCACATGGCGTGACCTCATATACGTGAAAGCAAACTTGTGTTTTATTTGTATTTTACCATCATTTGATATGTTTAACACGTAAAGATTTATGATTTCAACTACTACGCTTATCCCAAACATGAAATTGGAAGACTGAGCAAAGAAAATGAATATAGTTTGACAATACATATGCTTTCAGATTAGGTGGTGTTACCTGGCAGTAATGCTGGGGTGCTGTTCCGACTCTGCAGCCTGGGCCTTTTAAGCTTCTGGGACACACTCCTCAAGTACTTCTTCAGGAGTGCCCCTCCACCTCCTTTCTGTGAAGGGTCAGTGGAGGAGACTGCTGACGGCTCTGCAGCAGCTGACGATGAGGCTGCATTAGCTGAGCTGGCGGAGCTGGAGGAAGGGGTCAGGGCTGCAAACAGTGACCCAGGAGGCTCAGACAGGGCTCTTCTGAAGGGGTTCTTTCTGGCACCTTTGTCCGTCTTGGCGTTCTCTCCACCTTTCCCACTGGATGAATGTTTGTCTCCAGGGTCCTCGCTCAGGGCCTTGCGCCAGTTTTGCATCTTGCTCCACTTGTTGGTGGAGGCCTTCTGAATCCTATCGATAGTCGATGTGGAGGAAGCTGCTCCTCCGTCTCCATCTTCTTTCACCTCATTAAGTGTTCCCCTGGAGCCGGTGTGCCACTTGTACGTGTTGAGGGGGTCGTTGGTCTCAGGTGTTTGTCCTTGAGGAGGCTCCACAGGAGATTCATTTTCCTTCTCTGGTGATCCTTGTTCCTTTGGTGGTTGTTGCACTGCAGACTCTAAATCTTTCTCCTCAGTGCCCATTTCAGATTTTTTTTGGGGGGGGCTTGTGACTCAAACTTTCTTTAATCTCCTCTCAAGGATGCATCAAACTAAATTAGAATTCAAATACCTGCATAGGAGCCCTCCTTTGATTTACTGCTATCTTGGAGACTAATGTGAGTGCTAAGGATGACAGAGTAGTCAGTGCCTTCACTCGTTCTATCTCTCTGCTTCTCTCGTTTCCTGTCTTGCAAAACGTTATCCGGCAACAACATTCGACGAGCTGCTCTGTCTGTGGTTGCTTTGCTGCAGCACCCAACTCCTCTCACTCACAATGTGCTTGCTTCCTCATGACATGCCACCGAGAAGTTCACGTAGTTACAGGAATCTCACTGTTTTTGTTTGTGCTTTTCGTTTTCACCTAATACTTCCCTTCTTCCTCACTTCCTGTTCTGCTTTTATGTCCAAACAAAACTGTCTTTGGTGTCATCTTAAACATCTGACCCAGAATGTCTTGGAGAAATCAATCTTTCATTTGCGTAGCAACCAAACTCAAAGAAATGTAAATGTGCTTTTTTTTTCAAAGTGTGATTTGATGTAGGGCTGTTGAAGGTAGTTATGAACTCCACCTTCACCTCAGAGGAAACCTGCGTGTCTGCCTGTTATTAAGTCATTTAGTCTGTCACACTATGAGTATGTGGTTTTACATTCAGTTCATTTAAATGATGGAGGATGCGACTTCATTTTCTAACCCTTCAATCAGAAGTACACTTGTAGTAATTTGATTGAGTTAAATAACCAGGCTCAACATTTCTGCTGTCTGACAAAATTAATATTTCGAATGATTTTGCATATAAAGGTCCAGGACACTATTATTAATACCATGCTCAATAAAACAGTCTTTAACTAAAAGAGTGACATTATCCACTTATTGTCAGATACCTGTGGGTGTTTGGTCTGTTGACTGTTAAGATCAGTTTCCTGTTGAGGCGAGGCTGCACTTCCTGCTGAGATCAGTTTGTCAGACTCTGAAAAACCACTTCCTGCTCTCATGCCGCTCTCTGCTTGTACACACCTGCAGGATATTTCTGTGTCCCACTGGGGCAAGATGTCGCCACTAATGTCAGTTGTTTATTGATGGTGATATACAAGTGGACAGCAAGTTACCCATGCCACTGCCGCACTCTACATATTGTATCTGATATATACATATTCAAATGTATAAACAGGACTGTTAACTACTTCATTTAAAACTGTTTTTTTGTGCCTGAAGTTACTTCAAAGTAAACTTTTCTTTCTTTTCTTTTTCTTTCTCTTTTTTTTATGTATTTCATTTAAAGAATCAGTTGTATAAAGCTAGTGGAAGTTAAATGTTTGTCTTGTTTTATTGATGCCCCCTAGTGGCTATTTATTGATATTGACATTGGTATTGAAATGATATTGAAAAAGGGTGACTGTACACCCGAAAAAATAATTAGACCTAAAATGCTGACTTTAAGTATTTCAATGACATGTACATTACAAGTTCAATGTAAATGGTCACATTTAATGTAATGTTTTTCTATCATGTTGAGTCAGTTTGAATAAATTAAATAACTTAGACAGAGTTGATTAAATTAAATTCATGCAAACGTCTACATAAACCTAACAAGAAGAAGAAGAAGAAGAAGAAGAAAAACAAGCTGTTACAGTGTTTGTTTGGCTTTTTAAAACCACATGAACTAGTTAGGGGACTTTGTCCATCACTGTACTTGTGAGCTCAATGAAGCATCTTAATTTTGAGTGTTTGGACCTTTGGGGACAGTTTGTTGCCATCCAGGTTCATCAACACTCAAAGAACTCAAATGTGAATTTGTGTTCCTGGGGATAGTTCAGGTCGAGAGTGTAAATCAGTCCAAAGAGCATGGCACATCCAAAGGAAATACTTCCCAGCTTGCACAGCAGTTCCACACCCTTGATCACCACTCCAACATCCTCTGGCTCGTCGTCTTAATCAGCACCTTCTTTGCGAATCACATAAAGCCCCATGGTGGTCTGTGCAATCCCTTGGCTTCCTCACTGTTGATGTTCTAATGGTGAAAAACAAATTGACCATTTTGAAATAAAGAAAATATTGCAAGTTTAACACTGAAAGCTCACAATAAAATGCAATTACTAACCAAGTACTCCTTCATGAGAGTGTTGCTGTCCTCATTGAGCTTGACACACAAACTTCTGAGGACACAGTCCCTCTTGAGGTCAATATCCTCACTCTACAAAGAAGTGAAATTAAATATTAGTCTCCACTTTTCAAGACATTTTCCAGGACATTGTTTGTAACCCTCTCATTCTCACCCCACTGGTTACCTTGACTTAAAGGGATAGTGCACCCAAAAATGAAAATTCAGCCATTATCTACTCACCCATATGCCAAGGGAGGCTCAGGTGAAGTTTTAGAGTCCTCACATCCCATGCGGAGATCCCAGGGGAGAGGGGGTAGCAACACAACTCCACCTAATGGAGGCTGACGGCGCCCCAGATTCAAACGTCCAAAAACACATAATTGAAACCACAAAATATCTTCATACTGCTTGTCCGTAGTGATCCAAGTGTGCTGAAGCCCTGACATAAAAAGTTGTTTGGAAAAATGTCATTTGAACTCTGTTTTTAGCCTCATTGTAGCCTGTAGCTCTGACTGCCTCACTGTGCACCACACTCACATGTGCACGTGAGACCAGCAAAAGCATGTAAACACATGAACGCGAGGTAATTCTGTTTAGCTGCTCACGTGTGTGCAAGTGTGGTGCACAGAGAGGCAGTTAGAGCTACATTTTTTTTTCTGTGCTGAAAAAAAGGACCAACAGTTTGGACTATAAAAGGAGACTTGGGCAGTTGAATCACAACCAGCCAAAGTAGAGACGATCTTTTGAATGGGATGTTGCCTGTATCTAACATTCTTGTGCATGTTTATTTGATTTCCATATTAGAAACTCTGTCAAATGGTGTTAAGTAGGCTGACAATTGTCTTGCCTGGGTTTGCACAGTTGACACTGAGCTGTTGCCTCCTACTTATACAATCCATTAATACCAAAGTTTTGCAGCTACACAAAATCTGAACATTGTGATTAGCTGAAACTCACTACACAGATATGTCACGATTGTGTTTCTTGTCTTTTTGATGTTTGCAGCTGCTTTTTCTTGACCTTTACGCTTTTCTTGAGAGAATTTACACTGACCTCAGGGTATCCAGTCTTGTTAAGTTTTGTGCAAAAATTGCCAACCTTTGTCCTTAGATAGTGTTTCCATCCCTCATGAACAGGCATGTGTTCCTCTTTCCTTCAAGCATGGATGGGTATGCACCAATACCTCAGAAACCTCTTCAATTTGGGAATCACTGGGATATGACGTGTATTTGAAGAACTCTTCAGCCATGCCTTCAAGGATGTCCATTCTTAGCTTTGGCGGAGGGATAAAAAGAGTGCCATTTACTCTTTGGAGCTGAATTTCAGCGAAATATGAAAAACGAGGAACAGTGAAGATTGGAGGCCAAGAACAGGTTCTTGACTCTGGAGTTGGATCTATAATGATAGTGTCTGCACTGCCAAGTGAGTGATCAGAAGACATACTGTCTCGGTCAAGGGATGAGAGCTGAGGGGGTTTGTAGCAGTCCCTCCTGAGGTAACAGAGCTCTGGGATGTAGTGGGTGAATTTACTGGTGTGCTGGTGCTGCAATGTGGAGGAGTCCCTGGAATGCTGGAGCTAGTTTCTTCACACGAAAAAAAAATCACTTTCAGAGTATCCCTGTCCCTAATTTCACTGGTTGATGTAAGATTGATATATGGGTCAATGACGTGATGCTGCTTTTTTTGTGTCCATATGGTTTAGTCAAATTTAAAAGGGTTAAAATTTGAAAATAAATGTATGATCAACTTACAAACTTTAATTTTGTGTCGATCCAGTATAAAATTTCTGCTTTTAATACATTTTGAGAGAATATATTAGAGGATAATGGCAAAAATGTCTAAGTGGTGTAACCATAAAATCTTGCACCAAATAATTAAACTTGCTTAAAAACACTAAAATTCTCAGTAAAACACCATATCAACTAGTTTGGCATGATCTTTAAATTATTACTTTTTTATATTCAATAAAAGGTAATGAAATACAATTGTTCTAAATATGAAATTTAATTTGGGGAATCATGAAAGTCAAGTAAACTACATGAAGTGTCAAGTGGTGTAACCACCATTTAAGAGGCCGTTTTGTTAATACTGTAAAGAAGGCCATGTGACAGGAAACGGTGTTACAGAGAAGGACCTCTGATGATCACAACTGCTGCATGACAAGGTTAGAATCTCTTAAAATTACTAATAAATTGACGTTTTTAGACTCTGGTCAGGTTTGGTAAGTGTACATGTCAAATGGTATGACCCTAGAAAAACATTAATAATTCATAAAAATCATTAAAATGAATATTTACTTTAAAAATTAAGTTTGAAATCTTGAGACCAAGGCCATGTGCTTACACAGGTGTCCATGTTAATGCCTGTCAAATTTGATTTTAAAATGAAATGTCATTTCACTCCTATTAAGAGCCTTTCTGATATAAGCAATTATGTCAAATATAAGCAGTTTATGATAGTAATTTTTATCAGTAGTTTATGATGCTAATTAAAGATGTATTATAAAAAAATACTTTTGATCTTGTACAGTAGCTTTAAAATACCTAAAAATCCAATAATTCATTGAAAGTAGAAATGTTACTCAAACATTAAAATTTCTGCCTGTAAAATACAATTATTTACATTTCTGCTATTTCATTACTAATGTATGATACATTTATAGAAAACTAAAGTAATCAAACTAAATAAATAAAATCATTTTTCCCTATTAGATGCCAGTTTCTAACAAGGAAAAAGTGGCTCGTCATAGAGTGCTAATGCAAATGAATGCTAATGAATGCTAATGCTGCAGCAAGGGCCAATTACGTCCTTACGAGTTGTTGCTGTTGTCAGGTGACTTTTTCCCTTATCAGAATTTAAAACACAAAACATGAAACATGA